CTGAGCCTTGCTGAAAAAAATAAAAAGTCTTGGTGCCCATAACCTCAACCAGGACTCTCCTTCCAGTGTCCCAGCTCACTCATTATGTCTTGTGTGTCTGTTAAGTTTGACAGTTCACCCTTTAAGGCCTAATTATAGAGATTTAAATATCTTTTCACTCTTCTCTAGGTTTCTTTTTGCTCTTCTCAAACTTGGGACCTATCTTCCTTTAAGTTTATTCTTATGCACTGGAAAAAATACTATTTCTTCAGAAGCATCAAATGATACCTTTTTTTTTTGGTCCGGTTGTGGAGCCTGAACTCCGGGCCTGGGTGCTGTCCCTCAGGTCTTCAGCTCAAGGCTAGCGCTCTACCACTTGAGCCACAGCGCCACTTCCAGCTTTTTGCTTATGTGGTGCTGAGGAATCTAACCCAGGGCCTCAGGCATGCAAGGCAAGCGCTCTACCACTGAGCCAACTTCCCAGCCCTCAAATGATACCTTTTCATCTGCCATCAGCACCAACCAATAAGTGTAACTTTGTCTTTCTCTGCCATGCCTGATTTTTATTCCCATGGAGCTTTTTGCCCTACCAAGAATTCCCCTGCCCTGTGCCTAGCCATTGTGCTTCCCCTGTAGCTGAGATAATAGTGCATGCTACTCTACCTACCCATTACTTGAGATGGAGTCTTTCAAACCTTGAGGTTTTCCGGTCTCTGTCTCCAAGTGTACTAGGATTTATTGAGGATTAACATAATTGCTCAGTTTTATATGTTTTGTTCTTGGTGAGTTTTTAATTAGGAAAAGTTATGATAGTGTTGCAAACTAAAGCTTCAGCTGTTAATCATAATATAAGCACATGTATAAATCTATTTGAGTCCAGGCCCTTCCACCGAAACATTTTCATATTGATTTGGGATGAAGTTGACTTTGTTTTTTTTTTTGTTGCTGTTGTTGTTTGTAGTAAAGGTCACTTATGTTTGTTTTCTGTCTCTTAGAGTTCTGAAGTCTCTGGAGCAATATCCTCAGCTTGTAACAAAGAGCCAAATATGCAAGTATAATCATTGCTCTATTACTTAGTTTCCTTTCAGAGTGTAAATTTCCAGTATTGTAAATGTTGTCTTTTTCCCTTGTTGGTAACAAAGGGTACTCATGATTTCTAAATCAGAATGCTGTACACACTCATCTTCGGCAGCCAGCGCTGATGTGCAGCAGGTCGTTATGTACTGCAAGGAGAAGCTTATTCGTGGAGACTCAGAATTTTCCTTTGAGGAGCTGAGAGCACAGAAATACAATCAACGAAGGAAGCATGAACAATGGGGTACTTGTATCTCATATTTTGAGTTATTTGTATGTCATTTAAAATGGTAATTGCATTTTTCATCAAATAATTGACAATGCTGACATATTGCAGAAAATGTGTGTAGCTTATCTGTAAGAGGCTTGGAAATCTTTGCTAAACATGAACATGGCAGCCATGCTTGTATGGTGACTCAGTCCTTGTCTTCGCAGCATTGCTCATGTAGAGAGAACACTGCACAAGAATCTATGTCATTAAGGTTTTTCAGTATGATCTGTATGGATTTGTACTTCTGTACAGCAGTTCCAAATTTGCTGGCCCACTTACTTATACTATGACAGGATTAGATTGGGAATGAAAGTTCAGAAGAGATTTTCCAAGTTCTTTACCTACTTTAAACAAGTGAAACAAAAGGAGTTCTCTGATCAATGTGCCATATTATTTATGGCTATAGAGAGGGCTAAGTTTAGTTCCTCACTAATGTATACCTTAATAGAGTTTGCTCTTATTATAACAACATAGACCCTAGGAAAATGAATCTTCCACTCAAGATTCTCTACTGGGGCGGGGGGGCTGAGAAGGGATGTGAAGGGTAAACCAAAGGAGGAGGCTGCAATGCTTGGTAAGAAATGCAGGCATTATCCTGCCCATGTAATTAAATAAAAAAAATTTAAAAAAAATTCACCTAGGATCACCATTTATATCTATCAGCTACTGAAAAAATAAAAAAGATTCTCTACTACGTAGATGAGACTATAACCATTCTGTGAGAATATTATTTATGTTGGATCAACAACCAAGAGAATGATCAATTCCTACTTCATACAGGACCGGACCCATTTTGAGCTGTGCATAGATAGGTGTAAGTCTCCAGTCAGGCTGTGGTATGGCCAAGTAAGCTGATCATAGTGTGCTCCATGCACTTAAATGTACTTCACAAAAGTACTTGGAGAGGTCTTTGTATTATTATTATCTTTAAGTAGTTATACAAAGAGGTTTCAGTTCAACATGTTGCTTGAAGTTTGTCTTTGAAAAACTGAAATGAAAAATCATTTTCAAAGTCATGATTGCTTATAAAAATATTAGATATTATACTGGGCTACTACAAAATAATATTGTTGATTGCCATGTCAATTCTTTACAACTTATATATGCCCTGAATATAATAGTAATCATGGTGGTAATAGATAAAGGTTATAATTAAAAGGTAAATACATGGTCTGGGAAGGTGGCTCAGTGGTTGAGTGCTTGCCTTGCATGCATGAGGCCCTGGATTCTATTCTTCAGCACCACATAAGCAGAAAAACCTGGAAGTGGCCCTGTGACTCAAAGTGGATTTTCAGTTCTTCAACTTTATAAATATGAGCAAGACAATGCCATATTAAAATAGGACCTTTTACTCATTTTATATATATTCCTCTGAGGACCTGGATTTAAGCTTTGTAAACAAACTGTTTTTTTCTAAAGTAAATGAAGACAAAGATTATATGAAGAGCAAGCAGGCTAGTGCTTTTGAAGAACAATTATTAAAAAAGAAAATGGATGAGCTTCACAAAAAATTGCACCATGTCGGGGAGCCATCCCACCAGGACCCCTCTGCTTTTCAGGAAAAGTCTGAGGTATGTCCCTGCTCTTTTCCAGTGAAGACTATAACCCACCTGGTGGTGTTTGTAATTATTGAGTATTAATTTATAGTTCATAATGTTTGCTTAATCTTTCACATAATGAATTCTTGTCCATGAAAAAGAATACTGTGATAATCAAATGTCTTCTTTGAGAATATTTTGAAATTATTTTTAAAATATAGCCAGGTGCTGGTGGCTCATAGATACTCAGGAGTTTGAAATCTAAGGATCACAGTTTGAAGCCAGCCCAGGTACGAAAGTCCATGAGACTCTTATCTCCAATTAACCACCAAAAAAAACCAGATGTGGAGCTGTGGCTCAAATGTAGAGTAGTAGCCTTGAGCACAAAAGGTTAAGTGACAGTATCCATCCCCTGAATTCAAGCCCCCGGACCCACAAAAAATAAAATTAAATATATATGTATATATATATATATATATCACAAAAGGTTAAGTGACAGTATCCATCCCCTGAATTCAAGCCCCCGGACCCACAAAAAATAAAATTAAATATATATGTATATATATATATATATATATGATTTATTTAAATCTAATAAAAATGTATGCTACATGTATATTTAAGCCTATATCTTTTTAGGAAGAACATTTGTTAGTAAACGTGTATACATGGATATACACACATATATATGTGTCAGTGGATGTTCTTCATTGCTACTGCTGTGGTTTGTGTTTTGCTCTGACATTTCAGCTTAGAGAAAACTTATTTTCTGCTTTTTTGAACCTAGCACATCTTGTAGGCCTTTCACTTGCATATAGATCCAACGCATATTGAAGTACAGTCTTCTGTCACTCCTTACAGAAGGACACATATGTCCTATAGCAGCTGTTACAAAGTAAAGCATGTTGTAGTAAGCATGCTTATACATATGGTACTTTTAGTCCATAGCATCCGTTACACCCTCTTTCATAGTCTAGTAGTCTAGAGTCTTCTTGAACAATTCTCCAGAAACCAACCTCCCATCTCCTTTTCAGATGGAACATGAAGATAAATAGCTGTATCTACCTACAATAGTGGTTTCTAAGGGTGTTTTTTTTTTTTTTTTCCTCAACAGAAATACTTAATGCATTCTAGAGACCAGGGAACTCCTAGACCAGTCCAGCAGCTATTTAGGTGTTAACATTTCTCTGAGGTCTGGTTGGGAGTAGATTATAAATCATATGCTTAATCTCCTGTCCTAAGCCAAAAGCTTTATGGAATTTGTCTATACAGTAGTATAGGGATATATTTTCCAAATGGGCTGACCAGTGTAGGCAAAAACCTTATCAAAATTCTCAATGCCAAATCTTTATATTTGAAGAATCCATTTCTAAAATATACCCTTATTTTTGTCAATAGAGCTCTTATTATTTCGTACTGTATATTTCCTATAGTTTTCTTGTTCATTTTGATATCTGGTATAGTATATCTCTGCTTATTCTTCTTAAAAATATTTACTCAGAATTGAATACTGGTAGAACATCTGTAACCCAAAAGTCTGAAAAGCTCTAAATCTGAAACTTTGAGCATCATACATAGCCAGCTAGCACTGAAGTTTAGAATTTCAGAGTATTTTGGACTTCAGATGTTTGAATCAGGGGTGTTCAACTAGTAAGTCTAAGCAAATATTCTAAAATCTGAAAAATTCTGAAATACTTTGAGTTCCAAATGTTTCAGATAAGGGATTATATTATGATTCTTTATCTTTATGATTCTGTTAGGTGAGAAAGTGGTATAAGTCATTTTGTTACCCTTATTGATGACTACTTTGTCCATTTTTATGTGAAATAACATTTTTACCCTAGATATTTGGAGTTTGTTTTTGTTTTGTTGGGTTTGAATTCAGGACCTGGACAGTGTCCCTGAGCCTCTTAGTGCTCAAGGCTATCTCTCTAACACTTGAGCCACAGCACTACTTCCAGTTTTTGAGTGGTTAATTGGAGATAAGAGACTTAGGACTTTTCTGCCTGGGCTGGCTTCCTACTATGATCCTCAAACCTCAGCCTCCTGAGTAGCTAAGATTATAGGTGTGAACCACCAGCACCCAGCTGTTTTGTTTTTGTTTTTGTTTTCTGTTTTTTTTTTTAACAAGAATACTTTGAATTACCCTCTGTCTTTAACTTTGTAACTTTGCCTAGGTTCTGTGTACATATAGTAGAGAAGCAAAGATTTTTAAGTATAAAGCTTGTTACCCTTCCCATAAATAGCCTATTTATTGAATAGAAAAATGGCTGCCAAGGGTATTTGAGCAGGACACAATTGTGAGCATTTGATAACATTGATTCGTTGGTCAGTTTCTCAAATTAAGTAGAGAGAGGGAAGATAGTTTTAAAATACTGATATATTATAAATGCTGTTTATTTTCTTGTGGTTAGAAATTTGAGCTGTGGGCTGTGTCCATGCTCAGAAGCTACAAATTTTTTTGTAGCTGGCTTCATTTTCAAATAGCTGAAGTGGTAAGGTGTGCTTCAAAGGGAAAGAAATCTATACACTATGCTTCAGAAAGCTCTAGTGCTTGATTAGTAATATCATGGGTTTTTTGTTTGTTTTGTTTTGTTTTTTGCTTGACATGATAGGTCACTCCAGCATGTATGGGGCCAAGTGTAGACTTCCAGCGGGAAGTGAGAGCTCCAAATCTTCCAACCATCAGTCATCAGTCCTTAAAGAACTCAGAGAACCCTAAAGAGCCACCACCTGTTGTCCCTCCTGCAGCAACTACTATTACTGCTACTTTGGTGTCCCCAGCCATCAGCCAGAGTGTAGCTCCTCCTGTTCCTTTAAAGGCCCAGTCAATGACAGACTCCAGGTAAGCCCGAGGTAGTCCTGAAGGTATCAGTTATTTAAATGGCATTTGTCAGTCTCTTTTCATGATCCACAATATCAAGAACAGTATTTGAAAATGAAGGATTCTTACTTTTTTAAAATACTTTTGGGAGCAAGTATGTTGTTTAAAAACGCCCCAAATCCGTCACACTTACTTTATGACATGCTTCTTTAGAAAAGTTGTTTCATTTCACGCTTTTCTCTTGAATTACAATTTCCATTTCTTTGAAACCTAAATCTCTTACACTTGAAAAATATACAGCTGCAAACTGAACTTAACTGTGGAATTGCAGATACTATTACTATCCAGATAGTTACTTGCCATGTTTTCTCAGTCCTTCTGTCCTCCCACTGGAAACAATTTGGTATCATTGTCCATGACTATATGCCAAGATTTACCCTCACATTGCTCTGAAGGTCTTCTCCCCAATTTTGCAGAAGTTTTCTACATTGCAGTTGTTTGTTTTACATTTATATCTTCAATCATGCAGCAGTCTTTTAACTCGTGATTTGATAAGAATGTGTAAAATTCAAATTTCTTAAGATGTTTTAGTTAACATTTTAAGGTTCCTTTATGAGAATTCCAGAAGTAGTAGATGAGATCCATTGCCCCAAGTATACTTTTCAAACAAGCTCTGGTTTGCATACATTTTGCTTTCTTCCTTGGTAGCTGTTATTTTTAATCCGGACATTATTTTGTGACTGTAGGCTCATCACTGAAACACCAGAGCTTCCCCTGTTTCAGGTGCTTGGAACTGGATGTTACATTTAACCTATACTATAAATGAATGCATTTAAATTAGAGAAGATGTTACGCTATCCTGACACATAAAGAGATGGTTATTATGTTGCTAAAATTCAGAATCAGTAATTTACACAAGTGTCAGTACCTGTGTTTTAACCACGGGCTTATAATTGTTGCCTAATTTCTTTTACTATTATTTCTTGAGAATTAGGCAAAAGGTATATATGTAGTTTTATTCTTCAGCATATCTCAAGAACTTCTTTTGCAGATGTGTGAATCAGAGTACTCATGAATTCAAGCCACAGATTGGGACTGAAATGAAAGAAGGTGTGTTTCATTTTAATAACTTCATCCTGACCTGTTTGTGCAGATTCCTTTTGGTTTTACTCATTGTCTGTGTTGTAGCTGTGCTTTTTGGAAGGCTTCAGACAGACCTTACTAAACCTAAGTTTAGCAAGCTTGTTATTAGAGAGCAGAGCCCCAGACCATTTCAAATCAAAGTAGAAATCCACTTCTTCATAGTGCAGAAGCCTTTGAAAGCCTAATTTATTGAGGCTGGGAAAATGGCTCATTGGTCTCAGAGTGTTTGCCCTTGCATGCATGAGGCCCTGGGTTCGATTCCTCAGAACCACATAAACAGAAAATGCCAGAAGTGGTGCTTGGCTCAAGTGGTACAGTGCTAGCCTTGAGCTGAAGAGCTGAGGGACAGCATCCAGGCCCAGAGTTCAGGCCCCATGGCCCACCAAAAAAAAAAAAAAAATCCTAATTTATGACAACTTCTATTATCAGCATCTTAATCTAAAATGATTGTCATCTTTAGTGTGTTAGATGGGAAAAGTAATCCAGTGTATTTGCTACTGTACTGGAGGCATTTGCATAGCTGATTGATAAGAAGTTGTATACATTAATAGGTCTCATTTGGATATTAGGACATTTGAACTTTTCCTCCATGTGAAGGTAGCATGATATCCACTGACCATTTGTGGAAACTGGCTTCTTGAAACAGCTGACCATTACACCAAACAGCTGAGACTTGTTGATTGCACCAAGATATGGTGCCTGTTCCCCAGACACCAGTCATTGTACTGAGTACTCAGAGAGGTAGCTGTGAACAGAACAGTGAAAGTCTCCCAGGACAGGAAGTACAATGATCCCTCACCTATTGTGGGAATTACATTCCAGAGACCCCTGCAATAGGTGACAATACATGAAGTAGCAGCATTATATTTATTTTATGATTTATATATTTTAAGGCTTTATAAACCCTTCTCTTCTATAAACCTTTCCTACTTTCTTATTAACCTTTCCCACGCTCTTATAAATAATTCATATACTTTTAAACACTTAGTACGGTCTTTAACTTATGAAATTTTAACAACATACAAAATTCTATGAGTACTGTCAGTGAAGTATACTACAACTTGAACAATGAAGATCATGTATTACATAGCTGTGCAGTACTGGTGGCGGTGAAGGTGATACCAATGAGATGAATGTACTGCACAGCCAAGAAGAGCCTTACAGCTCTTCTGAAAGCACCACTTCATCAGACACTTCATCAGGTGGTGCAGTATTTTCACCCAGGGCTGTAACTTCTATTTCTGCTAAAGGCATAGGCGTAATTTTTTGTGTGAGTGATAAACATAGTTATGGGGAGTTGCTAGCACTTCTTTTTCTTCTGAGTGAGGTGTTTTGTTTTGTTTTCTTATTGTGCAAATACTAGACAGAGGGGTTACAATTACAAGGGCAAGGTAATGAGTACATTTCTTAACAAACATTGTTGCCCCCTCCTTTGTTTGCCTCCTCCTTTGTTTCCCCTTCCCATCCCTTCCCATCACCACACCCTCACCCACCCTCTCCCAAGCCAAAGTTGTAAAGTTCATTTTCGACATAACATCTTGCACATCTCATTGTTGCAATGGCTCCACCTGTATCCCTATTTAAACGATTTGTTTTTTCCCTTCCCCTCCACAAATTATACCACTCATCAAGTACAGTGAAAACAGGGGTTATACTGTGGGGGAGGGACATACAAATCAACAAAGAAATATCTCATAAATATGTTAGAAACAATAGCAAGCAAGAAGAAACATTTGTGTCCCTGTCTGACATGCCACTCTCAATTGTATTTACGAAGTGCAACAAATGAAGCATATGGAGATCCCATTCTTCAGCTACTTGCTGAAGTTCTTGGCCATCCCAACCATAGTTGGAAGACCAATCAAGTGTTAGTCCAACCTTCTCCTCTTCTCCAACCTTTACTTCTTCTTGGTCCTCATCTTCTTCACCATCTCCTCCCAGTAGTTTTGCCAGCTTCACAGCCTTTGCTACTGCAGAGTGATGGACTTCATTGGGAGAATTCCTTACAATCACGGACCACTTCTGCTCACAAATTTTTCCAGCTGGCATTTACTGTTATACATCTCCTTTATGGCCTTCTGAATATTTAGGAGCCATGATACAAATATGCCTTTAGCAAGAAGTTTTCACTTGTAACCACAGCTTCAACTAAGTTTTACAGGGCATTTCACATGTAGAGCCTTAAAAGTGGAAGTAATGCCTTGATCCACACACTGAATGAGCGATGCGGTATTTGGTAGCAAAAACTCTTATCTGGACACTATTATATGACAGTTTGACAGCATGGACTCCAGCATTGCCCATGATCAGAGCACTTTGTACTTGAGGTTTTTCTCTGCTAGATAAAGCTTAACCTCCAGGATAAATCACTGGTGGAACCAATCAACTGTGAGAGTTTCATGATCCAGGCCTTGGAGTTGTGCATCCAATACACAGGCAATACATTCTTATTTTTGTTTTTTAGGGCCCTTGGGTTTGGGGACTTAAAATAAATGCCTGCAGCATTCCCACATGTAATCAGAGTTACCCAGTCTTTTGGGGCCTTTAAATCAGGGGCTTTTGACTTCATCCTTCATAATAAAAGTGTGAGATGGAATTCATTTCCAAAATGAGCTGTCACATCCATGTTAAAAACGTGTTCAGGGGCTGGGAAGGTGTCTCAGTGGTAAACCGCTTGCCTCACATTCATGAGGCCTTGGGTTCAATTTCTCAGCACCACATAAACAGAAAAGGCCCGAAGTAGCACTGTGGCTCAAGTGGTAGAGTGCTAGCTTTGAGCTAAAGAGCTGAAGGACAGTGTCTAGGCCCAGAATTCCAGCCCCATGACTGACCAAAAAGAAAAGAAACCTTGTTCAGGCTTATAGCCCCTTTCCTTGATGATGGAGTTGAATATATTCACATACTCTTGGCTCCAGCTTTATCTACAGAAGCAGCTTCTCCATGTAGAGAAATGCTCTTGAGTCTAAAGCATCTTTGAAATTTGTCAAACCAACCCTTGCTGGCACTGACTGGGGTTGATCTGATGGGAGAAACACTTGACAGTCCTGCTTCCACATCGTCATCCTCGTCACCAACATGAACATCCATGCTTTCTGCAAATGATCATAAAGTTTCTTGGCCTTTGTCCAGATAGTGTTGGTATCCAGTAAGATCTTCTTCTTGCTGCAGTCATTTATCCATAAGGCCAATGCAGACTCCACCCTCACAATGGCCTGATTGGAGGAAGTGACCACCCTCTTTGCAATCTTGTTAAAAGACATTGTTGCTGCAAAACTGATGTTCTTCTTGTCTTTATATAGCCAGCAGTAGATTTGTTGATCCCGTAATGGCGGCCTACAGCGGCATAGCTTTTTCCTTCCTTTAACCTGTCCAGAAGTTCCACCTTTCCTTTGATGGTAAACATCTTTCTCTAGCACTTGGGTTGGCCCCCGGAAGCAAAGACACAGAATGTTTAGGTGGCATCATAGTGCTTGAAATAAATTCAAACTTCTTCTATGAAAATTTCACACCATGGCAGAGCAACACTATGTGTAGTAATCAATTTGTTGATGTGAAGTGGACAGGGAGAGATGCTTAATGTATCGACACAATATGGGAGACCAAACAGACCAATGCTACAGTCACTGAGCCAATCAGCATCCAGTGCTGTGGTCAGTCACCTTCCATTTCATCAGCCAGTAGTGTGCCATGTACAATCTCACATTGGCAAACTTGCACACACGGTAGTGGCTTACTGCATTTCCATTGTATACAGTAGTTTTCATCCACTGATGAAATACATATTGTATTTTATTTCAATTTATTATTATCTTAATATGTTTTAATTAACATTTATAGTGTTATATTGTTTAACATATTTGCACAAAATAATTAAAATA